GCAGCGTGGAATAAGACAGGGACACGTTCGTCACCAGTATTATTCCTTACGGTCACATGGATGGTTGGAAGGACAGAAAGACATCAATCCAGTGGACAAGGTGAATACCAGCAAGTCTTACAGTAATAAACAAATACATGAAGTACAGTAGAAAGCTACTATTGGACTGCTACACCTGTATCAGTCCTGGGAGAATCACTACACTTAATATATAGATGGATAAGTGAAACCAACAGTACAGAGTCTGATAATCTGATGAAGCTAAAAACAAAGAAAAGATGTTGTTTTCTCTGAAGGAGGATGTTTTTATGGGCTCAAATTGTGGTTATAAATATTTTGTACTTGTAAATCAAATGCTTAGTTGTGAACTGAGTTTTGCAACCTTGTAAACCAAAATATCTGAAAATTTTACATTTGTGCATCTGTAGATGAGAATTTGTGTGTTTTTGTAAAAAATATTTACACAAGTTAGAAATTGTTTTTGTTAAGGTCTGGTAACAGATACAAAGGAAAAAAAACTACATGTAAAACTCTATGCTCAACTTCCCTGGCTGTGTGTGCGTTTCAACTTATGAGTATGAATTTAGACCCAGTTTTTCTTCCTTTCAGCTAATTGGTCAATGTCATGTCAATCACAAATTTAACAATCCAGTCAGAGAACAGATGGGTTTGGCGGTTGCTGGGGCACTTTACTGAGCTCCAGGTCCTGGAAGGGGAATACAGTTAAAAGCTGGAGGATCTCTATATGAATATCCCATAAGGCTCATACAAGGTAGGTCCCTTAACTTTCAGTAGCTGTTGAAAGGATAAAGTTGTGGTGTACCAGTGGTTAGAAATACTATTATTACTTTAGTACTACTTTAACACAAAGTCAGGGCTGACCAGGGACCATTGCTGCGAGTCACACTGCGCAGCATAAAGGCCCTTTGACAACAGACGCGGGTGCTAAGGATCCAAAATTTGTTGCACTGGCCGCTGCACTCTGTCGTTTTTTGCACCAGTTCTAAGTGTACTAGAGCTGGTGCTCTAGTAGCAGCCGCATCGGCTGCTACTTGTCGTTTCAAAGCATGGATCTCTCTGACTTTATATCCTCTACAAGAGTTTGTGTTGTATTATCTTTAAATGTCCAATAAAAACATGTATCGCACATTCACAACGAAGAAAGCTTTGTAACTATCCCGACCAGTGATGAGTGTGTCATTTCCACAATACAGCTTTCCCCCTGAAGTCCACAGAGCTGTTGAAAAGGCTCTGGAGGTCCCTGTGTAAGCATGTAAACCTGTGACAAAAAA